TTTATATCCTGCCTCCCATTTCTCTGACCTTACTGCTCAATTTAAAGTACAGACTGCATTGCATTCTTCAGACATCTGGGAAAATTGTCAGGTTTTTCCTTTTACCTAAGGGGTCTCCCTTTCCACTAAAGTGCAGTGGGGACATACAGAGGACACTTTGGTTCCATTTAGGAAATGGCTGCTGATGTCTTTTCTCAAGACTTTGATGACAGTCAATGTTACTAGTGATACCAAGAAAGCAGTTGGCATTCATGAGATTAAAAAAAAAACAAAAATCTTATGGTCAGTATATGAATAAAGCAGCACCGATATTACAATTTTCTCTATTTTTCTCTGGAAGTGTTTTTGGTTTGGTTTTTTGTTTTTTTCACTTAAAAAAACCCCAAGCCTAAGCTTCTTTATTCAGGCAGAGCTTGTAATGACATAAAGCTCAAGCAGCCCAATCCTTTTGTCTACACCCCCTGAAGTCCTAATCCAGTAATTCAGAATTAATTCAATAGACAATAATGAAATTTTTAAGGTAGATGGGACTAATTTGCTGTCTCATTCCTGTCAGCTCAAATACCTTCATACTTCCTCTTCTTATTCACAACTTGCAAGGCAATTGCTTTAGTGTAAGCTCTGTTCTAGTCTGCTTTCTATTTTACCATGGTTCTGGTATTTGATTTCTGATGCACTATGCCTCAGTGCTCCCTTCTCATAAAACTACCCTTCAGTGATCAAGTCTGCAAGCAAGGAGAAAGGAAATCTGCCAGCAGCCCACCCGGCTAATTCACTATGTTTACCCCTCAGTTATTGTTTCTGTAGCCATATCTTGCAGTTCCACCCAGTTCTTCAGGAGATTTAAGAGTAGAAATAAGGGCAAAATGACAAGAAAAGCCATCCCATTTCCTGCAGGAAGCAGAATTAAATTCTTCAAGATAAGTTTCTCAAAATAGATTCGCATTTTGTAATGGATGATGGCCTACATGATGTTTCACAGATTCCATCTATGATAATACAGCTTGGTTGTGCTTTGGCTTTGGTTGTGTTCTTTTCGTTTGGTTGTTTTTGTTTTAAATTCTGCATTCTCAGAACATTCTTGTTCATTTTTCTGTCAGCAGGTGGCTGAAGATGTGAGAGGTACTCCAGGGAACCTCCATCCCTGCTACAGAGCCACTGATCCCAGGAGCAAAAGGCCAAGTGCAGCAGCACTGCCCAGGGCTCCCTTCAGCAGATCCCCAAAAAACACCACTGCTGCTACAGCCACTTTTTTAACAGATCCTTCCTTAGACAGCATGAGGTGGTTTAACCATCCCACTCCACAGTCCTCTGGAAAGCCTTGGGAAGAGTCAGAGCAGGCAGAGTCCAATAGACAACTCACAGCTTTCAAATAAATGCTGTTATTTCTAATTGCCTCCTCCAGGCTGACTAATATCTATCTTTATGTAGGCATCTTTATACAGTTTTACTGCCCCTCCTTGCCCATGCTCCACATTTACAGGATGTTTTCTTTTCATAAGTCTTCCTTAGTACTTGGGTACTGCCCTGCTCTGCCTGGGGAAAAGCCTGTGCTGGCCCAGTGGTCTGGTCTGCTGGTGTCTTTTCCTCAAGCTACCAGCTGGTGATTCCCACTGGATTTCTGGCAAGATACATGCAGTGAAAGTACCAATGTGGAAATTCTGTGGTCATGTTAGTGTGGCACTGAGTTAGTACTAAAATTTCTCAACAGGCAGGACATAATGTGCTAACTCATCTCGATAGCTTCCAGCCCCTCCAAGTGCCCATCGACTCCCAAACATGTAGGCACAGCCTTCAAATCCTCTATTTTTTTGCCTCTTTTGGATATTTTTTTTTTGTGTGCCAAAGCTTGATGGCAGGTTATATCTGGATTGCACCCAGTGCTAATGTCAGTTGCTTATACAATATTCCAGCTGCTCTGTTGGGAAAACAATGCATGTGAAACTAATAAAGGCAACCAAAAACCATGATTATATCAGTCCTCAGAATCCTGCTACTTGTTGGGAATAAAGTCTAAGTAAATACTGATTTTCAGATAGTCAAATACTATTTAACAACCCATTATTATGCAAATAAGCTATGAATTTTTTAATTCTCCTAAGACAAAGCGATCATTCCATGGCCAAACAGGTTAGTAGTTTCCATCTGTGCAATTATGAATCATAAAAGAAATATTTTATGCCATTTACTGGAAAGAAAATAAGTATTTTAATCAGCTAAGGGATGCAATAGTTGGCATCCAGACCTCTGCTCAGCCAGCATCACCTATTCAGTGCAGGAAAGATGACAGTGACATCCACTGACTTGAAAGTGTTTTGCTTTGTCTGGACTTGAGGAGTTAAGAGCACCTCTTGTGAAAGTAAAATTTAACTGTCAACCGGGAAATTAGATTATCTCTTTGGAGAGAAGCACCATCACAAGCACATGAAAGCATCTGCCAACTCATACATCTTTACTTCTGTTTGCTTTTGCAGACAGGAATTCATCCTTTTCTATTTCTGCTGGTACGAACATTGCCAGGGGCTTAAAAAGCCAAACCGCTGCCACACTTTGTACCCAACATTTACCCAATTACCACAACAATTTCCTGGACCAAGCCCTTAATTTGTGTTTCCTTCTGGGAAACAACTGGCAAAACGTGATTTGTTTGTTTTTCTGTGAGTCTCTAGATCACACATGTTATTTTAAACCTTGTATGTGTGCGTGTTGTGTTTTTTTAACCGTGTGGATCTCCTTTTATCTCTGCCCAACCTCTGGCCCCTCTGTGATGCTCCACACCAGCAGGATGTTGTGCAACCAGCAGCACAAGCTCCTGCTGCTGCCTCTGCCTGTATTCCTACTCATTTGATGGCTTCTGGCAATTGTAGCTGTTGGTGACCCACACTGGCATAGCAGAGACAGCAGCTGTGCCAAGTGTGGCAGCCAGCAGGTTTCAGTGATGCCAGGGGAATGGATTACAGGAAACATTTATTTGAATGGGAGATGCAGTTTCTACTTTAAGTATGAAAAATATCAGAGTTTTCTGGGGCTGTTTGGCACGTGCTTTTTGCAAGCTGCTGGTAACAGAATAGTAAGATACTCAAGCAAGGTTATATTCTTTAAGGAATTTAAAAAGGGGCAAGGCAACAGCATTTTTTTTTAAAATGAGGATTTCACATGATGATGAATAGTTGTGATAATTTGGGATGGCTAACCATGTATACAGATGCACTGTGATGGGTCTGACCTTTTCTGCTGTAAAAAAGAAATCTTTTTTCTTGTGTGTCTGTGCACCAGTCAGAATAGAGAGTGCCTGGGTTCCTTCTGGTGCAGAAGTGCAGCCACATGATTCATGTAACTCATCTCCTCAGAAGGTAAGATTGTCACCAATCAAGAGCAGTGCATTAACTTTCCAAGCAGGACATTTGTAGGAAATTATTTGGGGAAATTATTTTTTTTAACCTCTGATTCACTACTTACAAATACCAGCAAGAAAGATGGAATCAACATCTGCCACCAATAAGCTTTAAAGGAGCAGATTTTACAGCACCCACCTGCATTTGCAATGGTTCAGATGCAACTCTGAGACCGTGATCCCGAAAATGTGAAAGTAAGAGTGAAGGGCTCCTTTACTGCCTGGGAGGTGAAGAAAAGATGCCCTGGGATCACAGAACAAAGCTGAGCATGTGTCTAAGTGTTTAACATGTTGGGCCTAAGGAACATCACACTGGGAGTCATTTATTTCTATTCTCAGCACAGGCAGTACAAGATGAGAGGGGAAAAGAGAACATTGGACACTTCAGTGAGTGCCTTGTCAGGCACATGGTGCTCTACAAGGGACAGACTTAAAAACCTAAACCTGCATGAGGTAACTTTAGCAGCTATGCAGTCTTGGATGAAGGAAGTAGCACAGGGTTTTTTGCTCTGGTGAGGTGGTCATGATGAAGAAATACACCTGCAGCAGGAAGTGTGCATTTATATAAAAAAGCTAACCTTAGACAGATGTTTTCTGAAAGACTGCAGGAAACCAGGAGACAACTAAATACATTCTTTCGTCTTTATTGAAGCCCTGCTGAATGTTTCACTTGGCTTTCTGATGATCTGCTGATGATCTGTGAACATTTGGCATCAGAAATACCTTCATGTATGTTTGACAGTGCTGCAGGGAAACACCTGTGCACACCTGCCCAGGCTGGGGGTGCCTGTCTGGGGATCCTTCTGGAAATGCTGGGCAGTGCAGAGGGGTCTGGCCACCACTGGAGCATCTGGAGTGGAAGAGGCTGCCAGGGTGACAGATGGGGACAGCAGGTGCAAGGGAGCATCTTTTCCTTCTCTGGCAGGACAGGGGTGAGCTGGGGCCCTGCCAGAGGCCAGGGACAGCAGTTTACCATCAGAATAGACCACAGTGAGTCACAGTCCAACCTCCCTGGTGGACATGGCCCAGGATTGTGTCCAGATGGTTCTGGAATAGCTCCAGTAAGGGAGACACCACAGCCCTTCTGGACAATCTGTCCAGTGCTCGGTCAATATTCAGGTGGAACTTCCTGGGCATAAGTTCCTGCTCATTCGTCTTGTCCTGTTGCTCACTATCAATAGAGCCTGGAGCCATCCTCTTGGCACACTTCTTTAGATATTTATACACATTAATGAAATCCCCTTTCAGTTGTCTCCTCTCGAGGTTGGAAAGCCCCAGCTCCCACAACCTTTCCTGGTCAGAGAGCTGCTCCAGTCCCTTCCCCTTCGCAGCCTCCGCTAGACCCGCCACGGGAGCTCCACATCTCTCTTGTCTTTAGGTGCCCAGACCTGGACACAGCACCCCAGAGGAGCCTCACCTGGTCTAAGCAGAAGAGCAGGACCACCTCCCTGACCTGCCGGCACTGCCCTTCCCAAAGCGAAGTGTTCCCTCCGCAGGCTCCTCCTCCGCGGCGGGGAGGGGCCGAGGCCGCCGGGTCCCGCCGCGCAGCTCCGGCGGCGGGCGGCGATCCGGCCCGGCCGCTCGGCTCGGCTCGCTGGCAGAGAGAGGAGAAGGAAGAAGGAGGCAGCAGGGCGCCGGAGGCAGCAGCCCAGGGTAGGCTGTGCGGGCAGGGGCCGCGCACCTGCCGAGCCGCGCCGGGGGCGGAGCGGGGGCGGCTCCTGGGCCGCGGGGCCGCTGGGAGCGGGGCCGGGCCGGGCCGGGCCGGAGAGCGGCGGCAGCCCTGCCGGTCACCGCCGCCTTTTGTCTCCTCTTCTCCCGTTTATTTTCCCACGGGCGGGCGCTGCCCGGAGCCCCCCATCCTGCTGGACAGGGAGGGTCGCTTGGGAGGCGCTCCGCGGTTTCGGAGGTGGCACCGCAGGTTGGCGGCCCGGGGCTGCCGGTAGGACCCCAGACAGAGCCCGGCCCTGCCCTGCCCCACACCTGCCCTACCTGTGGGTCCCGGGGAAAGGCGGTGCCTGCCCCTTCCCCCGGCTCGGCTCCCGCTGCCCTTGACCTTTGGGATGGCCGGAGCAGCTCTGGTCGGTCCTGCGGGTCCCTGGGCACAGCTCACAGGGGCTGTGCCCCTCTGTGGATAAACCACGGTGAACCCTTTTCCCACTGTGTATTAAATAGAAGGAACGCGGCTATTTAAGGTGCCGGAGTGATGGATTTGTCAGGTTCTGGCTCAGGTGCAGAGCTGCCGGGCATTAAGCACAGTATGCATTAGATCCGCGTGTGTGCGAAGGCGTTTTGAGCCCTTAAGGACGCCCCAGGGAGGGTTTGGGTACCCGGTGTCGGCAGACACAGAACTCATCTCAGCCCCAGGGAGGGTTTGGTTACCCGGTGTCGGCAGACACAGAACTCATCTCAGCCCCAGGGAGGGTTTGGTTACCCGGTGTCGGCAGACACAGAACTCATCTCAGCCCCAGGGAGGGTTTGGTTACCCGGTGTCGGCAGACACAGAATTCATCTGAGCCCCGGGGGAGCTGCGCTGGGGCCGGGCGGGACCTTCCCTCTGCCTCTCCAGCACAGCTGAGCCAGGGTTTGCTGTGTTTGCAGGGGGAAAAAGCCTCTGACCAGGAACTGCTTTCCTGAAATAGGGAGGAAGGTATGCTTCAGCCACTGCAGCGAAGGAGCAATACCAAGTTGGAAAGGTAAATACGGTTTCAGAGTAAGTACGAGAATATTGCTTTGTACATTGCAAGGAGGAAGTGAAGGGTTGGTTTCACAACTGGCAGAAATAGCTGCTGAAAATGAAAGAGCATAAAACAAGTTTGAGTGATTGAATGGGACATTGTCCTTGGGCTTCATAAGTGAAACTGAAATATAAAAAACTGTATTGGTAAACTACTGATTATGTGTTGTAGCCTATTAGTGTAATTTCTGAAGTATAGCTTGGGTTTTGAAATCTGGTTTAATCTACAATAAAAGGTGATCTTTAAAACCTGTTATCACAAGTTTTATTGCCACAAATTTCTTTGCTTATGTGTGATGCCTTGAGAGGATGCCTAGAACAGGAGGCTAGACAGTGTTAAAGGAATAAAGTAGGTATTTATTAAAAAGGCCTTTAAAGGAAACACTTTGGGCAGTACAAGAGCCTGGCCAGGGCTACACCCAGGATGGACAACGTGTTCTTGGGCTGGGAAAGGATTGTTTTGTCTGACTAAACTGTGAAGAGAACTTGCTGACATTTTATATGAAGTTCAGAGTTACATACTAATGCAGTACAGAATCTGGAAAATATGAAAGCTAAAACTTAAGGCATCATTGGAAGGATATTTTTTATGTTTATTTAAATGCACGTGAATGTCAGAGGAACTTAAGAGATACGTGGAGACAGAAACAAGTTGTTGACAAGTAAATGAGAACTCAGGTGTTTCTGTCTGCACTGCATAAAATGAAATCATCTCCTATCAAATAGAGTTAGGCTGCAGTTCTCTCTGTGCTGCTGGTAGTCCAGTTGTCTTTGCTGGGAAATGACTGGGATCCTTGTGATGGGATTTATCCTAAGGATACACTGCTAGGAGGTGGTGTGAGTATGATCTGTGCAGCAGGTGCACAGATGAGCAACCTGGCGTGACCACTGAGCACTGAAACCTTTTGTAAGATGTCTGTAGTATTTTCCTGCTTGTAATAGAGCTGTTAAATAGTAAACTGCTAAACAATTGCTTTGCTATAATGATAATTGTCCTGTCATTATATTTTAAGAGAACCATTAAAGGAAGTGTTTTGACCTCGGGTGTTTGCTCTTTGCTGGCTTTTTTCCCCACTAGGTATTTTTGTCACCTCATTTGTTGTGATTGGAGAAATAATTTTGGTCGTTTGGAGAGAGGACTGTGACAGAGAAGTGGAGTTTGGGATCACCCTGAAATGAATCTGTTAATGCTGGAGGAAAAATTCACTCCTGCTGTGAGCTACTTGTGCCAACTTCTTTTTCTTCTTACCTTTTCTCCCACCTGGAGCTATCTGCAGCTCATTTCAGCCAAACACAGATTACTGAGGAGAAATAGTTGTTTTGAAATTGGAATTTTGAAATCTGGCCTAACTAGCCAGCTATGGCTGTAAGGGGCAATCCCAGCTTTTAGTCCTTGTCTTTATGCTCCTGCTGCCCTGGATTCATCCTACATGGCAGTTTTGTGGCCACGGAATTAGTTAATATTCTCTATTGGATCAGCTGTATTTCAGGGCAGGATTTCTGATGGATCAGGCACCTGAACCATGGCTGTGGAGCTACAAGGTCTGACACAAGGGAGGCAGGGATCTTTTTCTGGAGTTGAGAAAGGAGAGGAGGAGGTAGGGTTGCACTTTCTCTAACCTCTGCAACCTCTGAGAGGAGATAGGAAACTTGTGTTGGGCGGGAATGATTATGAGGTTTGATTAATTGCACAATCTGATTCAGGGCCAGGGAGGGGGTGGAACATGTCAAACGAGATTAGCAAGTCAATTCAGTTTTAGGGTAGGGAGGTGTCAAGCTGAACCAGGACACTGTAGAAAAAATAGAAGTATGACAAAAATGTGTTAACATGAAGGAGCAGAGCCTTGATGTTTTGGTGGGATACTCAGTTACATAAAGAGGGGGTAGTGTTCCTCTATTCCTGGGGAGAAAGCCTGTGAAGGTTATGAAACTTTCAAGTTTTGCCAGCTTGGACACAGCAGATCCTGTTTGTTGTCACTTACCTGGCTGAGGACGAGCAGCTTTGGTTTCTGTAGTAGGGGCAGTGAAGACGAGAGGAGAGCGTCTCAACCTTTGCCTGCCCTGTGGCAGTCCCTAAAATTCTCAGGTGAACACCAGCTGTGGGTGCTTTCTTGCTTTGGCTCACTTTCTGTTGTTTACCAGGAGAGCTCATCCTGAATCCTGCCAGCTTCCCATCAGGAGCATGGCAGTGGCTTGTGCTGACATTAAAGGTTGTGGGGTCCCTGCAGACCCAGGAGTGTCCCCGGGCATCGTGCTGGCGTGGCTGGGTTTGAGCACGTGGGTTGCAGTCACACCTTTTGCCTACAGCTGCTTTTGCCACCTGACTTGGCAGCTGCCAGGTAACAGTGCAGCCAGTTCCTGTTGCATTACCTGGAATAAAGTGTGGAGGGTTTTATTGTCAAGGGGTTTCAGCCCATGTAGGAACAAACAGGAGGAATTTGGTGAAAGTTTGAGCCAAACCGCCACCGTCTCGCTCTGCCCTGTATACTGAGGACACACGTGATCCTGCCTTCTTCCTTGTGCTGGTGTAGCGAGCTCAAGTGGGGAAAAAACTTGGTTTTTCCTTTTCCAAGGCTTTCTGATTATGTGAAGTTTTGTGCTGATACTGGGACAAGGAAATGGGGTGGAAGAGGGAGTGCTGGTCAAGCCTTGCCAGCAACATTGTTTAGCAGCACCCACTCTCAAGCTGGAGGAGTCTCTTATTCCAGGCTGGAAACACTACAACCATTTTTGAGCAAATTGCAAGCTCATGAATGCTTCTGATATGCTCAAACAGATCTTTGTGAGCTGGGGAGTTGCCTATTTGTAGTCATTCTGGGACAAAAGCGGTGTTTTGACGTAAGCTGGCTTTGGATCAAGTTCTGGGTGCAGCTTTCCTTTGTGTCTTCACTGCTTTGTACTGTGCCGAGCTCTCAAAATAAATTATAAATTATAAAAGTCAGAGAAGGCTGCAATTTATATAGGCTTAAAATTCTCCACTGCATTTCTGATGTGAAGTTTAGTAATGTTAGTTACTTGCCTCTGAAATGGATAATTACTGATTCAAATGTTATGATGAGAAAATACCCAATAACTTGACCAGATTATTTACTTACCAGTTTCTCTTATTTGAAGATCAGCAGTAAATAGAGTGGAGAATTTGCCACGTTGTGACTGAGGGTAGAAGAAAAAAAAAAAAAAACCTGCAAGGAGATCAGCCCAGCAGCAGATATTCCACACTTGTGGAATCCAGAGGCTTTGGGGGATCTTTGTCGCACTTCCAGAAGAACAAAGAACGCTGTCACACGTCCGTAATTGTGTCACCTGAAATCTGGTACCAGCTGTAGTGTAGATGGCTCAGCTTCCTCCTGGGATTCGTTTCATCACTTCATTCTCACGAGATCAGTGGTAAGTCTTGAAGTGCTGGTGTGATCCTTGCTGTGAGCAGTGTGAGTTTGTATCTGTTGCCTTGCTCAGAATTTTTACTTTTTCATTGCTTAATACATACTGGAAGAATATATAGTCAGTTGTATAATTAATAAATATTGCTGGCATTTAAAAAGTGAGATACTTTGCTGGGAAACCCAGACAAACCCTTACTAGCCAAATCTGCTAGAGAATAAAGCCTTTTGTCCTTTTCTGTGCAAGGTATGTATTTGAAAGAATAAATTGCATTTTCAAGATCCTAGGTGGGAGCAATGCTCAAGATTAACTTTCTTCTCTTAGCCAGAAGTGTATTTTCTCCCCAGTAATTTGATGTATGATACAGACTTGTACAATTACAGTTGTAGTTCTTGCTACTGCACTATTAAAAAAAAAAAAAACAAAAACCAACAAAGCCCCCCAGCAAAACCAAACAAAAATTGAATCCACCTTCCTTTAGGAAAACTAAACCTGGAAGTTTTATGGCATCAGTTCAAGTGGTTCCTGAGATAGAATACTGAGTCAATTGTTTGGGAATAACAAAAAATAACAAATTAAAGGCCAAGCACTTTTCATCTGAGCCATTTTATGATATTTCCAGTAGCTGAGCAGCAGGAACAAAGTCATTTCAGTTTTGTCACTTGTGAGGATGTTTTCAGCCATGAGGGTGAATAAATCTGCTTGTGGGATGACTCTTTTTTCCCGTGAATATGCCAGAATTATAAAACAAAACCCTGGTTATGTAAAAGTTCATAAGGCAAAAAATTATTGAAAAGGGTTAATTAAAAGTCAAGGACTGTAGTAGGCAATGTGATATCAGATATTTGTATGTATATATGTACTTATATTTACAGATGTTAATTTTAGGATCAAGGCTAGAAGGAGCCAGTAGACACACTTTGGGTGCTTTTAAAAGCACAAATGCACAAAATGCTGTCCTTAAACAACTGAAACTACAGATGGGGAATAGAGTAGATCAAATTGTTATCTTTGTTTAATGCTTGCAGTGACAGTGAAATTAAGATGCTGTTTTAATTCAGCTGAACTGTAGAGCAAGAGCCAAGGATCCCAGTGAGGCACAAAGGAGAATTCCTTCCCAGTCCCAAAGCTGCTCAATTCTCTTCATGTGCTCCAGTGTCAGTCCCATTGTCCATCTCTGGAAATGTCTGATTTCCATTGTTAGAGAAAGGCAAAAGTAATGTAGAATCCTCAGAGCAGTAAGAAAGTAAGGAATTATCCAAACTGACAATTAAGAGAGCCGTCACTTATGTCCTAGCAATACCACAAAACCCAACGAGACAGGGAGGTGTGGAATCACCTATCAGTGTGTTGAGCTGATATTTAATAATTTTGAGCTGATATTTAATAGCCCCCAAAGGAGGGTTGCACACCAGGCAAGTCAGCTCTGTGGGCTCAGGGCACTGCCACGTTCTCCTGCCTGTTCCCATGTGCCACCAGGCTCCCTGCCAAGGCCACATCAGAGCAGATGGGAAGCAGCAGAACTGGGAGGGTGGTTCTTCAGGATGCTGGAGAACACAAAAAAAAAGTCTTCCACTATTCCAGTATTATCAATGACTTGTGTAATGGTTTTGTGTAGTTTGGTGCTAAAAGAAAGCCTAAATAAAATTATTTGCAATTTTTTTTTTTTTTTTTTTATGTCACAGGTATAGAGCTTTCATTTTCTCTCTCACTTTCCTGCTTTATGCCAGCTTCCATCTATCAAGGAAACCTATCAGTATAGTGAAGGTAAGAGAGGTGGTGTCCTTGTTTAAACATCCTCCTGCTCCTGCCAGACACGGACGTCGTTGTCTTTCTCAGTATTTCCTGTTGTGAAAGTCGGGGTTAAACTTTAACTTGAAATGCCTTCAAGATGAAAGACTGATGTAGCTGGCACACAGTGATATTTGCTTGATAAACTTTAGTAGAGACCACACCTAGAATATTGCATGTAAGTCTGGCTTTTGGGCTGGAAACAGCTGTGCCTGCACTTAATTAATGTGAATTAATCTAATTAGGGATATTTGAGAGGTTTACATTCTTATGGTTGAGAAAAGTTGCTCATAACTGATGAGCTGAACATTCCACTGGCATTTGCAAGAGTGTTCCCAGTACTGTTGAGCATCATAGTCATCATTGTCTGTATCCTTGTGACTGTTCCCAGTGAAGGTGATGACACATGTTCTCTAATTCTGATAGAATTAGCAACTATTGTTACTTCAATCTTCTGTTTTTATAACTCACCAAACACAAACCAAATCCCCCAATGCTGCATTGTATAAAACTGGTGAGTAACAGTGGGCAAAGTACTTGATGCTACTGCAGAATTTCCAACATTTTCACTGTCAGAAACACCAGTTCACTGTTGGATGTTTTTTTTCTAACCATGTCATTACTCTTTCATGTGATGGTGGCCTCACCCAGCAAAATACCAAACAATTAATAAGGGCCAACAGTTTTACTGATTTGTGTAGGTTTGACACAGGTCTAACCTAGAAATAATCTAGAATTGTTAAATTTCTTGCTGTAGGAGAGTTATCAGTCCCCAGTTTGCAAGTGAGTTTTCCATTTTCAAATGTCCTTTCTGTTTCAGGGAGAGCTGCATAAGCAGTGTGCAAGTCAAGTTGAACTTGACTCCTACAAAGAATATGCTGCCCAGATCCAGCATGTCAGAAAGCCATTTAATGCCTCTCAGTGTGGATGGGAGCCATTTGGTAAGGCTTGATTTTGTGTTGTTTTTTTTTTTTTTTTGTTTTGGATTTTTCTTTCATAATAATGAGCTGATATTCATAATTAAATTACTTGCTTCTAGCTATTTCTTCACATGTGAGAGATGTGCATGGAAGGGGTGTTTTGTTTTCCAAGTCCTCACTGATTCCTTCACAGAAAGTCAATTGTGACTTACCTTATGATTTTTTTTGCTACTTAAAGTCACTTAAACAAGTGATATTATTTTACTTGCCATAACTAAGAGATGGTTTCAGTGGATCAGTTTTCAGTCAAAAAATGGGGCTTGTCTTTATCATGTCTCTTTAGGAAAAAAGGGTGAAGAATAAAATCAATCATTATAATTTTCTGCTTGTTTAATTCAGGCAGTCTTTTAAGTGAAATTACTTGGTGCTTATCTAAATTGGAACTTTGCAGAGTCCTTATCTGCCTGAAGGAATATTTTTCTCTTTATTTTAATGAAGAAAAAGGGGAGACTTTATTGCAGGAGAGACTTGACAAATCACTGGATAGTTTATGAACATGCCCTTTAACTTGAATAGAAAAAAAATATTTGCCTGCTGAACAATTAAATTTTAATTTAATCGTATTTCACTTTAAATGAGACTTTGAATAATTCCTTGACAATTTTATTGCCACCAGAAGCATCAGTGAAATAGATTAGTCCATTCTGTCAATGTGCCAGTCCACCCCAGTCTGTGTAGCCATACATTCTAATTAGTCTTTAATTAGCAATTAAAAAAAAGTCCTGCTCTCTTCAAAGATAATTAAAGATCTGAGCTCTGGGGTTTCTGTGGACAAAATCTAATGTATTAACTCCTGCTGCAGAGTCTACTGAAAAAATACAATCCCCCAGGTGGAATGCACTTAAACCTGGGGAGTGTTTCTTGTCCCTTGACCAAAGGGGGATTGAGTTTGTTTGTCTGAAATATTGATTGACTTTTTTAATGGAGACTTTCAGCCCAAATGTCCTCCTTTTTCCATGGACATTATTGCCAAGCTGCCCCTCTGGAATGGTGCTCTAGACTTGTTCTTTCAGCTGTTTTTCTGGCAAAGCTGGGAGTGACACTGAAGGAAGGAATTTGTTAATATCTGTGACTTCATGCTCAAAGCCAATAGCAATTGTGGCAATTTATTGCAAATAAATAAACAAACTGTCTAGCTATGAGCTCAGGTCCCTTAGGAGTTGACTTGGTGTTTCCACCAGGATGGAGCCCCTTTGCTCCCTCCATCCTGTCTGCAGTTCCCATTTAGGTGTGATTATGGTTGTTTACTCCACGAGGCAGAACTGTGGGGTTTTTATAAGCAGAACTTCTCTGTGCTTTGTGAATATTCGGAAAAAGAAATTTAAAAGGCTTTACCCATTAAAAAAAACCAAAAAACATTAAGGTGATTGTTTAAAAGCCTCTATGATGATGGATTTATGTTTTTTCAGCCATTTTGACTGTAAGGACCTCATGCTTTTGCAACTCATCTTACCACTTTTAAGCAAGTCTGTTAAATTGGATTTTGGATTTTCTTTTGCCTAAGGCCTTGTAAGAAAAGGGCACCTTGCTAATAACTGATGTTTCTTATCTTCCAAAATGTTGTTTTAAATAAGGTAGAGTTTAGGATGGGCCAGTCAATATTTTCCTAATATGTTAGAGGCAGAAGGGGTTTTTTTTTTTGTTAAATAAAACATTGGCAAAATGTTTGCTGAAGTCTAAATGTGCCTACTGAAAATTGAATGTCAGTGCACATTCACTGACATTTTTCTTGTTATATGTAAAAATGATTGTGAAGTAATTAGTACATTTAAAGTGGTAATTTGTTTTGAATATTATTCTTAGATAAGAGCAACTACAAACAGCTACTGGGAGCACTGGATTACTCATTTTTGTGTGCATATGCAGTTGGAATGTATTTAAGGTAAAACCCCACTCTCTTTACTGTTTATTTATGAGGCTGTGTGACTTCTGTGATATTGAGCTTTCCTACTGCAGAGTTTCTGATGGAGAGTGAGAAATTGATTGCTGAGAGGAAGAAAACCAACATGATTCTGAGCCCCACATAAAAACCTTTTTACCTGCACCAATCTTGACTGCCTTGTGCAGGAATATTTTCCAGATTGAAGTCTAGCCTGTCTTTTTTTCATCTAGATTGTAAATCAAATCAGTCTCCAAATTGCACTGATTGGGTTAAAATGATTTGCTTTCTTTAGTCAAAGAATGGGATCAGACACCTCCTAAAAATAAAACCAAACCCATCTTAAAGTGTGCAGTCTTAGCTGCTGCTTGGAGATGCTTCTTTCTATTGACTAAAGCCAGAATTGTTAGCAAGGGAGACAAGTGTCACTTCAAATGGCTGGAGACACATAATTTGGAAAATGACTGTGTAAGTAAATGACTTTGAATGTGTTCCAGATGTGTATCTCCCTGAAAGATGGTTGTGCAGATGTCAGAACGTAGCAATTAATGAACTTGAAATGTTTTGTTGGTTTTTATTTTTCCCCTGTCAAGGGCTAAAAATTGCTCTTTTGCTGCTGCAAAGGCAACCAGCAGTTACCAGTAGAGTTCCTCCTCAACCAGAATTAAACAACACAAAATATTCTTCATTTGTGAAGGCTTTTGGGGTGTGATCTCATTTTTAATTATAGCTTTTCTCTTCCTTCCCTCCCCTGTTCCAAGCGGACTCATCGGAGAGCGGCTGCCCATCCGGTACTATCTGACAGGGGGGATGCTCGCCAGTGGACTCTTCACTGCAATGTTTGGATTGGGTTATTTCTATAATGTGCATAACCTGTGGTTTTACATAATGGCCCAGGTAGGCACAGTGTTAATTTAGATACTCAGGGTTCCTCTCATGGTGCTGTTTGGGGTAATACTGGGGGTTTTTCACTTGCACACAGTGATGAGAGGTTGGGTGGGAGGGTGTAAATGATGTCATCTTGTTGATGACAGGCAGAAGTGATAGAGTGGATACCCCCAGGCTTTATTTTTGAAAAATGGTGTTTGTTTTTTTTTTTTACTGGAAGAAATCTTTGAAAGCAAATTAATGTGTTTCACTCTGTGTTAAATCAGCAATCAAATCCTTGCAAGCTTAAATGCAGGTGAGTTTTAAAACAAGAGTGTTTACTTCTGTCAGTCTGCCAAGACCTGAGTGACACATCCTGGCTTTCTCTGCAGGAAAATTCCATTTACACTGCTAATGATGAGCAGTCTCCCACACTGGTGTGGCTGGGAACAGGCAGCTTATGTAACGAGATTGACTGTGGGAGATTTTTCCGAGCTCAGATCAGGTGTCAAAATAATTTTTACCGTTGGCCTGAAATGGAATTTAGGTCAGGACCAGGGCAGGGTTGTGAGTGGGGCCATTTTGGACAGGTCTGCACCTTGCACTGCTGCTTTCTGTGTTGTTGCAGTATCACTCACCTCTGGCACATGTGCATGGCAGTGAGCAAGGTGGCATGCAGAGGTACTAACCTGGGGCCAGCACTTCTGTCACCTTGTCACCAGTGAATCTGTCACTGCCCCAGCCCTCTGGGATCAGGTGTTTTCCAGGACTGGAAATGCCTCCTTTAGGGCTGAGCTGACTGTCTCTCCCCTGTGGGATGTGGTCATTGAGCCCTGTAGCTCCAAGGGTGATGTCACACCACCAATCCCGTTGGTTTTTGTTGGGTAGAGTGAGGTTGGTTTCTGTTGCATGTTCAAATGCTCTCTGTACACGTGAGGTTTTGTGTTGTGATATTTGTGTTGTGGTGCAATTGTAGACAGGGAGCTTTTTAGGAGTTGAGATGAGTTAAAGTTCTGTGCAATGTGGAGGCTGAAATAGTTCTTACTTCACCCTGAATATATTAAATTACATTCCTCCTCTCAGTTTATTTACAGATGTCTGTTAAGCATTTTAAAGTTATCCAGTCTCCCCTAAAGTTATCTTTTTTTCTGCTTTATTTGATTGCAAACATGCTTTGCCATATGCTCAAGTTGAGATAAGTGTTATGCTGCTGCTGCTTGAGTGTGGGGAATTCACTTCTCAGTTCAGCTCAGAGCAATGTGATTTTTGATAAACAAGTGACTGAATTACAGTATTCTGTGATTTAAATCATGAACTAATTATAGAGCTTTAAGGAGAGGGAAGAATCTGCGAAACTTTGTAACTTGTTTGTTCTTAAGGGGAAAAAAAATGCTTTCAAAACTCCCCACTAGATTTCTAAACTCAAAAGCATTTGTGTAGACTTCTTTTCCCAATGCAGCACTCATTAGGAATTTGTGTAGGAACCTGTTTTATGACAGGAAATGTTCATTTATTATTTTTTTTACCTACTTTCAGATAGCTAATGGGTTGGTGCAAACCACTGGCTGGCCAAGTGTCGTTACATGTATTGGCAACTGGTTTGGAAAAGGAAGGTAAATGATACATAATCCAGAGGTTTGGAAGTACAGATCAATACATGCTGTGATATTATCTATTTCAATATATTTCTTAGGCTTCTGTGGGTTTGGTTTGTTTTGGTTTTTTGAGCTGAAACTAAGCAGTTAGAATTTTGAAAGGAGCTTCCTTTATGCTGCTTATTTTACATATGGGTTTGAAACTGTCTCCCTCCTGTCAAAACAGCGTTCTGTGGTATCTTTTTCAGATGAATTATTTCAGAATTGTGTTAGAATAATTCTTGCAAATATAAACAGTCTAAAACTGCTCTTAGTAAAGGCTGTTATTATGCCATTTTAATGTGAAATTTCCTGTGTTTTCATTTGTATCTCAAAACAGTTGTCAGGGAGTAACTGTAAAAAATGCCTTTGTGTAATGTCTTTTTTATAAACTTGAAAATTTAATTTAGAAGACAAAATACACATGGCATCTGATTTAACCTTTCTTTTATCACCTTCTTTAGATCATCTGCTTGGGTCTGTCTTAATCCTGCAGAGATCACTCATGATGTTTGTGTTGTCACACCATACAGTAATTTTCTGTACATTTTGCAAGAGCTGCATGCTAAACCCACTGGCTCTGATAATGGTTGATGCATGTAGCATATAATGATGCTACTGTGGGACCATCCTTTGTGTATGTAGAGCATTATTGTTAATCAGTTCCAGAGAAGAATGTCCTGAAATTCAGCATTTGATTTTTATATAAACCACAGAATAATTAAAAAGATGTAGCCTCAAACTAATTTTCCATTAGGAAATGCAGAGAATGGTAACTGTCATATAATATGGAATGAGACTGGGGAGTCTGTGCAAAATAAATACATTTATTCAGGCTTTGCTTTGTGCAAAAGCAATATCCTTTACTTCTAGGATGCTACACATTGGGCTGGTGAGTAGGGCTCTGGTTTAAATGTCAGTGACCTGGTCCTTGTTTTCATTCTGCTATAATTCCATGAAGCATGAACAGTTCTCTTAAATCTTGTCTTCAGGCTATGGAAAAGATTGGGGTTTGTTCAAGTTAGGCTGCTCCAGGTAAAATCCTGCTGAGGGCAAGGCAGGTTTCCCATGACTTAAAAGGAAAAAAAAAAGCCCTGCTGTCTTGACTTCGGTGGGATGTTTTTAAGCTTTACCTTAGCTCAGATGGAGCAGATGTGTGTCTTATCCAAGCTTGTGAAGCTGTCATCTTCCACCAGAGCCCAGCAAGTCCAGAATGGGATCAGGAAATACTGAATTTGCTCCACATACCCTGTATAGTTTGTTTTCTTCTGCATGACAAGCCTGACATGTCCTGCAAGCACCAGATTATCGATGCAGTGTGTTTGCAGGAGGATTTTTATTCCTTAAAGGCATCAGACATGCTACACAGCATCAGCATATTTGTTTCAATCAAAGAAACTATTTAGAAATATGCAAGCCCTAGTGGTATTTTTAAATGTCAGTAAGTGCAGGACAAATTCAGTCATGCACAGAGTATTTACAGCAGTTTTATTAGTATTTAGGTGCTTTGAAATTGCCAGATGGAGATTGTAGCATAAATAAATGACCAGTTGAAGAACCATAAGATAAATTTCACTGACACCACAGATGTACAGCCATTTTGAAACACTTTTCTCTGATAATGAATGTTTGTGGGTTTGTGTGTTTTGGTTGTTTTTTTAATGCAGGAGAGGTTTGATCATGGGAGTCTGGAATTCGCACACTTCAGTGGGGAATATCTTGGGATCCTTGATTGCTGCTTACTGGGTGTCCACGTGCTGGGGTCTCTCCTTTGTGGTGCCTGGGGTCATCGTGGCTGTCATGGGGGTTGTTTGTTTCCTGTTCCTGATTGAACGTGAGTGCTTCAGTGGGACACAGCCACAGAGGGTTCATGCTTCTCAAGCTGTGCCTGTACTTGGAGAGCTTCTTCCCAGAACACTTGATAGAGAAGAGCCTGTGTGCCTTCACAGAGCTTACCCAGTCAGAATTAGTCATTGAGGTTGGAAAAGCCCTCTGAGGTCATCAAGTCCAACTTTGACCAATGCCCACCTTGTCCCCAGCCCAGAGCCCTGAGTGCCACCTCCAGGTGACACCTCCAGGGATGGGCACTGCAAAGCTCCCTGGGCAGCCCCTGCCAAGGCCTGAGCTCCCTTTCCATGGGCAAATTCCTGCTGCTGTCCACCCTGAGCCTCCCCTGGCCCAGCCTGAGGCCGTTCCCTCTCCTCCTGTCCCTGTTCCCTGGCAGCAGAGCCCGACCCCCCCGGCTGTCCCCTCCTGCCAGGGACTTGTGCAGAGCCACAAGGGCCCCCTGAGCCTCCTTTGCTCCAGGCTGAGCCCCCTCAGCTGTTCTTCATCTGGTTTGTGCCCCAGACCCTTCCCCAGCTCCCCTGACAGAGTGACACTTGACAATTCAGCCTCCTGTCCTGTCCTTAGGTCCCTGTGTTGATAAATGGTTTAAGTGTATCTTGGCAGAAGGTCCCACCTGGCTGCAGTGCACATTCAACACACACCACCTATCCTCTGTGCTATGAGGTACAGGGGGCAGCTGATGGAGCAGGTTTTGGCACTTTAAATTGGAAATTAAAGAGGAATTCCCCATCCTGTCCCTCTGAAGATTTAGAGATACGAATGCTTGTTTTACTGTAACTGTCCTGCCTCAGGTAGTGAATTTTGGCAGGTATAATTAGAATTCTGTAACTAGCTGGACTGCCAGATTAGCACTTTTTATCTGTCCTGTCAGTTTATTGTCAGTAAGTTACACTGTTGGAAAGTGTTTTAAGAGATCTTTCTTAGGCTTGTTTTCACTATTAGCTATGTGTGGTGTTTTATTTCAGATCCTAAAGATGTCAGTTGCTCCTGCACACTGTCCAGTGTAAGTAAATGCATTTTCTTTTTTGATTTTTTGCCTCCTAATAGACACATTTATTAAGATGGTTCTGTGAATCAAATTGTCTGTGTGGCCCTTTGTGCCAAGCTGTTGTAACTGATCCTGTGCTTGAGGCAGTGATTCGTCTTCTGTGCTTCACTGGTAAACCAGGAGCTTATTTTCTCTCATAGCAGATGAATCAAGAGGTGAATTAATTTGTTTTAACTGAAGTTTTGGAGCAGTTGATCTTACAGTAAACCAAGTAAAAACTGTTCATCTCTTTTTTTTTTTTTTCTTTTTCTTGTGTTTTATTTTCTTCCATCTTCCTGAGCATCTTTGTGGAGTGTTTTGTGTGCTCAGAATTAAGTATTTTAGAAAATTTTGTGTTAGAGGTTGGAAAGATTTCTTAGGAAATCCCAAGTTACTGTGTGAGGTGATTCCTTTTCTGCCTCATGAAGCTGTGAACCCAAGAAGAGGAAAGCAATCCAAATGGAATTGGAGAAAAGTAAAAAGCAAGACAACAGAGAGAGCATTAGGAAGACTGGCTGTGTTTAGCTTCTCAGAACAAAATATCATTCCTGGCCCACTTTTATTCAAGATTGTGCTCACAGGTTGATCTTGTTTCATGTTCCCTGAGACTCTGCTCTGTGTTTCTCTTCTGCAGCCAGAATCTGGAGCAGTTCTTGCCCCAGGCTCCAAGGAACCCTTGGGCAATCACATCTACCACATTTCCAAGTATTTTTTGGAATAGTAGAGGGGTTTGATAGAGCAGGGATGAGGTTTCCCATGTCTGAGGACAAATCAGGGATGTCAGTGAAAGTCCCAAGAGCATCCCACATGGAAGTTGTCTGTACATGTGAATTCATGTGCATTTTCTTTGCCAGTCTCACAGGTAGATTGTAAGGATTGATTGCTCTTTTTTTACCACCTAATATTTCCAGATCAGTGTAGTTATACATGTTAAATGTTCTTGAATAGGGCCTAAAGGCAGCTTTTCTAGTCTGTGTTCTCTCTTCTTTACCACTTAATGTTTTGGTTTTTTATCTTCATATGAAGCACTTCTGATAAAGCTTCTGAATGCTTTTGATGGTCTGAGGAACTCTTATTCTTAGTTTACTCCTGTGAGACAAGCTGGGCTCACACTACACTCTATTCTTCATTTATTTCTCTTTCTCTTTCATTCATTAGAAGTAACTTCTGTAAAGTGTGAGAGTATTTTAAGTGACTCTCATTGCCTGCTGTTAAGAGTCCCATTTTCTTTAGCTTTCATGTAGTTCAAAGCATCATTTTTACAGAAAATCCAGTTAAGCCTCATGGAATAAATATTTATTTGTTTCAAATACACTTTAACTGGAAAGCATAACTAAAGCACTCAGCACAGTATGTTGCTCATATGTCTCAGTGTGGAAAATTCTGACACAGAATATCTATTTACCATGATATTTTTAACAAAAATTTAGTATTTTAGGAGCTGTTTCTCCCAGTTGCAGAAAAGGAGGAGCTTTTGACTCATTCTTCACTGGTACAGCATCAGGGTCACTGCTCCAGGCTCCCCCTCACTGTGTGAGATGCATTTGACCTTCTGTTTCCCTGGAAACCTCGCTCTGCAGAGCAAAAGGCATCGCTTCTTCCTCCCCTATTCCCATTTCACATCTGGAAACCTGAGAGGAGTTTATAACGGGGCTTCCCCACTTGCCCATGACCCTTCTCAGACTGAGATTTGCCTTGTCCTGGGGAGCTTTATTTCATTGGAACTGCTCAAATACCTCAGTCCTGAGTGGTCTGCAAGGATTCAAAACTCTTGTGCAAGGGGCTTCTGTACAGCACAGAGAGGTGGCCTCAGAAATTAATTAGGTAAGAGTTCAAGAAGTCTGGATGTAGATGTAATGATGACAGTTTCTGACTGTAAAGAAAAGTGAGTGCTAATTGGAGGGACTTTCATGTAGTAAAATAGGGAGAAAATAATTCATCTGTGTTGTACAAGGAATAGAATTTAGCAGCTGTAAAAATACTTGCTGTCCTCTTTTTTCATTCAGTCATTCAGGTAACAACCTGAATAACTATTTGCTTTTGCAAATAGTTAGAAATCCTTTTGAGGCATTAAACACTGGCTCTCCTCATAAGGCTGTGGCAGGTAATTTTGGCCAGATATCCTGGGTAGGTGCAGGCAGTTCTGCTGGCTGGTGCTAAAAACTAAATCTCTTTGTGGAAGAATGAGGCCAGTTAAATTTAAGCACCACTAAAATAAATGCTCAGCACGAGGGAAGGACTTGGAGTTTATATTAAGATTCAAAGATCAGGGTCCTCTCTGTGTGATGTCACTGTCTTGGATGAATTTGGTCTACTGTTTATTTGCAGCATGGTCGTGAGCCCGGTATTTCCACAGAGTTTGTAGTGGTGAGTAATCTGATTTCACTGAGTTGTCCAAAACCACAGATGGAGAGTCAGGCACAGAGCCTTGAGCGTGTGGTTCTTTCTCTTTATTCTCTGGTTTCCTGGGCTGTGCTTCATTTGCCTGAATTCATCTTGGCTCTGATTTACCCGTCTGAAATTTGTTTCCAAATAAATGCTTGAGGACAATAAAGTGCTTTCAAATGCTGGCATTGGAGGCTTAATCTTGACTTTCTGAAGGGCTCTACCTGTGACAAATGCAAGTGAGAAGTCAGTGGGTTTTATTCAGAATTGCTGCACTTCTTTATGAAAGTCAAAGAGGAGATTTTAACTTTTTTTTTTTTTTATGCCCTTTGGGAAATGTGATTTAGAACTGGTTTTATTACCTCTCATCTTTTCTCCCTGTGTCTTTTTTTCCCCATAGTTATATCATGTTCATACAAACCTGCCTTTGTACTCTAGGAACTTCCTTTGTCTTGACTTTGCATTCCCGGAAATCTCCCCTCCTGTTGCAAAGTGCTTGTGCATTTGAAAATTACCAGGCTGCAATTTTTATCTCCTGAAAAGGAGGAAGAAGCCTAAGTACTAAATGTGCAGCCTCTAAGTCTAGTCCTTTTCCCTAGACATTTTCTCCTTACCACAGTAAATCTTACTTTTTTGACAGTGAAATGAAAAAGTCATTCATTTTTTCTCTGCTGAGCTGCTGATTAAAAATGTCGATGCCTTGTCTCTAGGTGATGGATTTTCTTTCCCTTGGAAGAAAACCATGGTTCTTGTAAATCACAGTTCTTGTAAATCATGATTCTTGTAAATCACATTTTTTACAAGAGCCAGGTTTTCTGTAAGATAAAACTTAAAAATCTGTTTTATCAGACCCTGGGGGCTCAAGTGTTGTTGGTTTATTTTGAGGAATGCATGTCCAAGACTGCCTGTGCCTCAGCTCTGTACTGAGCTGCAGAAATACCACAGTTTACCCTCAAAAATATTTTTTCTTCTTAGAATGATTTGATTGATGAAGGGTAGTTTGTCTAAAAAATACTGAAATACATACTCTTGGGGTTTTTTTGGGGGAGGGGGAATAATTACGTAGTGATTGATCTTGAGCTGGATTGTTCAGTGAGGTTTTGCATTCTTTTTTTATTTGTGGTGATGAGCTTGAGGAGAGGATTATTTGGGACAGAGTTTGTGGGGGTTTTTATTGTTCTGTCTTGTTTGTTTTTTTCTATGTGGCATCCACATAGAAACACACTTCAGCACCTCATCGCTGAGGAATACACAGTGCTTGTTTTGGACTGAAAAATAGGTTGTCCATACCTGACTGCAAACCTGCTTTAGAGCTGTAGATTTAATTCATCTCATAAATCTGAATGTCCCTGGTAAATCTTTCTAGTCTAAAGATCTCAGAATGGTGTTTTCCAGTGAATGCAGTTTGGTGTGAGCTGATGCAGGAATGTACTTGTTAATAAGGATAAAAAGCAAGTCCATCTGGTGCCTAAAATGTAGCTTTTTGTCTCATTTTTTTTCTTCTGGAACTTGCTGGAGGTGCTCAGGCTCCTCATCAATACTCCTGTCCACAAGAACACATTTATGGGCTAAAAGAATATAGTGTTGTAGAATATAAGGGAAAGGGATGAACTTTTCTCTCAAAGGGATTAGGAAAGTGAAAAATCAAGGTTTTCATGAAACAAATCAACTTGTGTAGTTGCTGCTGGAATCATCTGCTCAAGGGCAAAAACTCAGTTTGCAATGTCAGTAAGTTCAGTAGAGGAAGAAGCAGCTAGAGATGTTGAAAGGGGCATGACTGTGCTCTGAATTCAGCTTCTCCTGTATCAAACCAGTGTGAAATAAGCTTTCAGATCAATTTGTGAGTGCATTTTATGTCTGTTGCCATAGGTCTGTGTAAGTACTTGAAAATCTCAAAATACACAGTCATCAAATTAATGATGCTCCAGTTGGGGTTATGTTTATGTTACAATGCACAAAAACTTGTTCCAGAGAGATGATTGATGCTAATGTAATCCTTAAAAAAACAAACAAAAAAAAACCAACCAGCAAAAATACAGAGTTTGTTTTCTTTTTTTTTAGAGTTCTAAAACCTTCCTGAACGGCGCCTCTCGGTGCAGAATCCAGATGCCGACCTTAAATGCTAAGGAAAATGGCAAACCTCAGGTAAAATATAAAATATTGCTGTAAAATAGCATAGAAGACTTCTTAAGGCTCAGCTGAAACATTTTCTGTTTGTAAAGATTGCTCCTCTTTTTATGATGCTGAAATCTGCTTCCATCTTCAGACACAAATGTAAATTCAGATGAGGGAAGTGAGCTTTACCTGCCATAAATAATGCAAACTGAGCTCTATGAGACAGCTGTGCTTGCTCAATTGATCTCCTTTTTTTTGTGATCTTGACACAATTCCATCAGAAACAATGCACTGCAAAATACTTTAAAAACAGTCCACTTGAAATATTTTAATTATGTATATTGTGTCCTGTCCTTGCAGTCTCACTTCTCTCCCTTCTCCTTTCAAAGCTGTCTGTACTTACAAGATTATATGTGGAGATGGAGATTTCTAAATATAAGCAATTATTCAGAAAAATCTTGCTTAAAACTCTTAACCATAAAAGCTGTTTTTTCTCACTAGAAAATGAATTCTGGACTTGCCCATTTTGTGGGCAGAAAAACATTTTATCTTCTGATGGGCATGAACTGAAAATTTCCATTTGAAATTTTGTATTTGTATTCAGTACACTCAGCACGTTGTATCCTGAGAGGATAACTTTTTTTTTTAACTTCTTTCAGAGTTTTCCAGGAAAATAGAAACTTCCTGTTCTCTTTATCCTTTGCCCATAGAATAATAATGAGCATTCACAGGGTGGAACAATCAGTGCTGGTAAAAAAGTTTTTAAATTTTTGTTAAGGAAACACTTCAATAAAGCTTAAACCCCCTCTGTACTTGAGTTTATTATTTTTGTTTTGAGCTGCCCAACAACAGTCTCTAGCCCAGAAACCATTTGTTATTTCACATCCAGCTGGAAGGTAAGGGGGGATGTAAGAATATCAGCAGGTGTTTTTAGGCAAGATGGAATTTACAGAAAGAAATTCTTTTAAGTTTATGGAAGAAAGGGTGGGTGAAGCACTGGAACAAGTGGCCTAAGAAGCTGTGGCTGTCCCATCCCTGGAAGTGTCCAAGGCCAGGCTGGATGGGGCTTAGAGAAACCTGGGATAGTGGAAGAGGGTTGGAATTGGACGATCTTCAAGTCCTTTCCTGCTCCAGCCAATCTATGATTCTAAATCATGATGACAAAGCTAAAAAACCACGTAAATCAGTAGAAAGATATTTCCCTTTTTCACTCTGCTGGTGCCTCTGCTGCCACCCTGTGAAGGGTCTGCCAAGCAAAGGGTGAGGGAAATGTACCCCTCTCCCTCTGACCGGTGTCCCTTGGGAGCAGGACAGAGGGGAAACACGGACAGTGAACCTGGGGGAATTGCTGGCAATCCTGGGAATATCCCTCCCTTCCCTCTCCACCCTGCCAGCTGGGCTATGTTTGTAACACAGAGTCTTAACAAGGTTTAAAAAGAAACAAAAAAAAAATCATTAAAACCCCTTCTTTGTCACTCTTTGGGGCTTCCTGATTTTCTGCCAGTGACAGGAGAACATCTTTTTCCTGTCGGAGCCAAACTGAACATCTTCCCCTTTTTGCAGGGGTTGTGTTGCAGTTATTTGGAGCTGATTTTCACAGTCAGCTTTTGAGCCTCTACAAACAGCAGATGTTTTGCATTTATGGGATGGTCTCCAAGCACACTGCAATGGCAGCTTTTATTGGGTTTTCATTGACCTCTGCAATTACTGTAAAAAGGAAGCAAATACTCAGCATCTGCAGTGATTGAAAGCAGAATGTGTTTTTGGCTGCGTGACCTGAATATCTCTGTCCCTTCATTGCTGCTTATGTTAGGTTGGCCTCACGAAAATGACAAAAAAATTGTGATATAATGAATCCTTCCCCAGAGATCAAGAGTGTGCCATATGCCTAATCGTGCTCTGAGACAAGCTGGCCAGGCTGTACAAAGCCATCTCTGCCAAGCACAAACTGCTGGGTTTATATATCCTTTAGCTATGTGCAGCATAAAAACCCCCAAATCATCACCAAAAGTTTCCAGCATGAGCTTAAATAAGTTGTTTGGACTTTGGTCACCTCTACTGCAATATTTACCTGCTCTTCCAAAGGAGATTTAGAGCTGCTTGTCTGAGAATGAGCAGTGTTGTCTCAGACAGTCCTGGCTGAGTTTGCTGTGCTGATTGTGCAGCATCCATCATCAGACACCATCTAGAATCCAGTGGGGAGCTTCACTGCTTAAGCCCTTTTTTTCCCCCCTCTTTTTCCCCCCTCTCTCTCTCATTTTTAAAAAAAAATAATAGCTTATAATTTGAACTGGTGCTGTTAAAATAGTTGAAGTTTTGAAGTTGCTCCAGTAATTCAGAAGATGAATGTTTTTTATGATGGTAGAGTGACTTGTGGGCCATGACATAGATTTGCACTGCCATGTCAAAGGTCCCTAGGTGTTTCTTCTGTCTTCTGGGTTATGCTTTTTCACCTGAGCCCAGACAGTGGACTCCTCTAAGTCCTGCATCCCATCTAACAATCATGTCTAGGATTTTGGATGCTGCCTGGCAGCTTCTGAAACTGTGCTGAGTGTCTGGGCTCAGGTGTCCAGATGGTTCCCTCTCCTAAATGATGTTCTTTAAAAACAAAATTTATTTAGAATCACTGAATATAAAATAGCAGAATTGAATTTTTCCAGCACTTTTTTTTTCCTTCCTCCATCAGCTTAGCAGATATTAAAGTTTTCATCTTTGCAATAAGCATTGGAAATGGAACAGCCTGCTGTTGTATCCTTTCTAGCCTCAAATATATATTTGAGGTTTAATTCTTCACTGAGGCTTTGTTCAGGTGCTGAAGAATCAGGAGAAAGAAGACAGTGTGTAGAATACATAACTAGGAAAAGTACACAGCTTGGTAAAGCCTCCCAGCAAGCAGGTGAAAGTGAGGGTAGCTACATCCCATCCTTTTTCCAAGTTGGAAAAGAAGTACTGAGGGCTATTTATACCTGATTTATTTTTTTTTTTCCTGTGTACAGCTGTAAGATGTACATTTCCAATTCTATTCGGAGAGTTCACTTCAGTCTGGTAGAGGATTAAAAATAACATAAACCCTCCTGGCTACACTGGGATGTCTTGTTCTTGTGGAGTGGTAACTTGCTCCACAAGTATTCTTAGCAGCCAGTGGAATTCTTGGAATAAAATCCTTCCTAGTACTAGAAAAGATCTCCGAATTCACAAGTTAGGCAATGCTGGTGAACTCCAGGCTTTTATATTTTGGCGATTGCAATGTTCAAATGGAACAGATTTTAAAAAAAAATAAAAATAAGTAATTACTTAATATAAAGCACTCACTGTCCATAATTCATGTGGAAAGATGGCCTGTACTTAGATCAGTCAGTAAGATGATGTTTCAGAGTCTGGAAAACAGGCTTGGTATTTCTACAGAAAGAAGATAATCCATTATTTCATACAGAAATGCATCCTTGTAGAAGTTTCTTGTGCACAATGTTGTAGGACTCAGTAGCTTGTCAGCTTTAATTAGACCACATTTATGTAGTGGGATGAGGGAAGATTGGAAACTGTTTTGTTCCATTGGATGTACTCTTAATATGTGGGGGTTTTGCAACTTGAAATTGTTCTTCAGTAGAACAGAAACTTGATTCTGTTATGGACTGTATGCACTCAGAAACATCCTGATACCACCTGATATTCTGAATATAGTCTCTGCTCTCTCTGTATACTCTGGATGTCCACATCAAGACAGTTTTAAGGGCTGTAACTTTCTGTGATAAAATAGATACTTGTTCTTAAAAATTATTTTGGAATTGTTTGATTTCTCAATACATATTTTGTGGTTTTGTTCTTTCCTCTCTCTCATCTGTTGCTGGGGGATGTTGCAGGATCCAGAGATGCAGCATTTACTGACTGACCCTGAGAACTGCAGCCTGTCACTGAGCCCCAGCTCTGTGGCCACTGGGGAAGGAAGGCATGGGACATCAGCCATCAGCTTCCTTGGGGCCCTGAGGATACCTGTGAGTGCCTGTGCTGCTCCTCTCTAAGAACTGAATTTTGCTTCAGAATTCATATTTCTAGGTGAATTCATAAGTTCTGGGTGGTGCAGTAGTGGATATTAACTTTGCATCAGAGTCTTGAAATGTGGAGGACTTTGGGCTTGGTTTATTTGGAGGAAAGGAGGCTGAGAGGAGACCTCATTGCTCCCTGCAGCTTCCTGAGGAGGGAAGGTGGAGAGAGAGCTGCTGATCTCTCTGATAATGTTCAAGAGACATTTGGATAATGACTTTATCAACTTGTGTCAGCCCGGGAGGGGCCTGGCAGTTGGGCAGGGTGGTTGCTGTTGACTGAAATAGCTTATTCTGTCCTAAAGTCTGTTCTAAAAGTTGACTGAACTAATGACATGTAGCTGTTAAGGGTGGAATAGCAAAGTGAGTACATAAGTACTTCTGTCTGTCAGAATTTCCTTCTATGGCTCCCCTTTCTACGTTCCTCAGCATTGTTTCAAAAAGTTTTAATCTTAAAATCTCTTTTCTGAGAAGTTTCAGGCAGCCCAAATATTTGGACTGCTGGCAAAGGAAATGAAGTTTCCTCACGGTCAGAACCTGTCATTTTTGATTGTCCTCTCAACCTTAAGCCTGAATGCAGAAGTAGATTATTGAAGAAGATTATTTGCAGATTGATTTGGACCATGTGTAGAGTAAAAAAAAATCCTGCACCCAACCACTGTATTCCTGCATCTTCTCATCATGTTCAGTCTGGTCCTCTACTCTTTTTCCTGTGGCAAAGTGGAAGTGGTGGGTGAAAAATTCCTGCTGCTGCCGCCTGGAATCTCTGAAACCTGTGATATTTGTCCTGCCTGTTGTTGGGAGGGGACACAGCTTCACGTGGAATGTGTGTGCTGTTCCTCAGGATAGCTGCAGCCCTCCATACCAGGGATTTCAGAAACCTGGTTCCAAACAAGAAGTTGTCAGATAGTGAAGGGAATGAAGATGGGTTAATTTGGCAGTCCAGTTACAGCTCTGTGCAGTAAATGCACTTTTATGTGTTCAGCAGGAAAGAGGATGGAGCAAGTTAGAGCTTTAAACAGGTCATTGCTCAATCTGTGATGTGCTCTTACATCTGCTCTGTGTCAGACTGGTTTACTGGCTTTTTATAGAGCTGAAGAGTAAGGCAGCAATCTTGAACCCATCTGAAGGAAGGAGATAAAGAGCACAAAAAGATGCCAGTTTCTCTGGAACACGCTCCAAAACTGTGTAACAACTTTATTTAAGGGAAATAAATGATGCAGGTGTCCCAAACAGTATAAAACCCTTCACATTCATTTCTGTGTTCTCTGCTCAGGTTATTCAGTACCATTTTAGTGTTCTCTCTTCAGGCAGTTCAGTACAATTGAAAGGAAATATGCAAGTAAAATACCACAGTCTCCTCAGAGTGCAAGGTTTATGCTCTCAGAGGAAGAATGTTTCTTGGGAATTCATGACAGGAAAATCAAAGCCTAAATGCTTCCTAGAAACCATTTTCATAATGCTCTGTGAAAGCAAATAGCTCTGTCACAATGCTAACTCCCTGTTTTCATTATTCTCTCAGGGAGTTGTGGAGTTCTCCCTTTGTCTCCTGTTTGCAAAGCTGGTGAGCTACACTTTCCTCTTCTGGCTTCCCCTCTACATCACAAATGTAGGTGAGTATTTCAGGAAAGGGGTACAGAATTGTGGCTACAAAGTCTCTGCAAATACGAGCGTTGAATAATAAGAAGAAAATAAACATTACTGCTTCTGAAAAGCTTTCTCTGCTGCAGTATCAGGGGAGTTGTAAGTCACTAAGCAGGTTTATGAATTCAGTGTTATGAGAGGGTGTTTTCAAAACAAGCAGAAGTGTCTGGCTTATCATCAGTAATTCCAGGCATAAATGCTGTGTCTTTGGCTCTTGCAAACAAATCAAAAAGTTTTGGTTTCTAACAATACTTTTCATGACTGAAATGTACTATGCATTAGTAAACATATACAAAACATTAGAAACATATACAAAATAATGTAAATGAGGTTTTTTGTCTGTTCAGTGCTGATGTTTTGATTTTTTTATACTTTTAGTGTGCAAGATGGACCAGCTTTTTAGCTAGGTCTGTTGCAATAGGAGAAGGGGTAATTATTTTAGACTAAAAGAGGGTAGATTTAGACTGGATATAAAAAAGAATTTTTTTTGCAATGAGGGTGATGAAATGCTGCAACATCAAACCTGTGGGTGCCCCATCCCTGGAAACATTCAAGCTCAGGCTGGATGGAGCTCTGGGCAACCTGATCTAATTGAAGATGTTCCTGCCCATGGCAGAGGGTTGGACTGGATGATCTTTAAAGATCCCTTCCAACCCAGACCATCCTGTAATTCTGTGATTATAAAAGTGGTAAAATGTCTCTTCCAGTGAGAGTAATTGCATTCAAAAGTCTGTATTGCCAAATACCTGCTTTTGTTCTTATTTCTTTTACACAACATCATCTTATTATTCTGAATAAAGAATTCTGCTGTAAGATGCCTTTGCTCTGGCATTACAAGACTGCTGAGATTTCCATGTTTTATAGTCCAGAAATGAGATAAATGTTTTGCTTCTCTCACCAGAGCATCTTGATGCCAAAAGAGCTGGGGACCTTTCTACGCTGTTTGATGTGGGTGGGATCTTTGGTAAGTTTTAATGTTATTTCACTCTTGATCACAGCAGTTCAGGAAAGGCTCTGGTGTACACAGCTTAGATATTTTACAGTTCATATGCATTATTTCTACTCAAAAAGAGTAGCAGTAAAGGTACTGAGCTGAGAGTTGTGTTGAAAAGTGAAAATCTAGTAAAATACCTTCACAGCCAGTGATACTGTTCAGCACAGATTGGAATAGTCAAATTATGGAATCTTTTATCTCCATCAGCTCTGGCCCATGAGTCTTGGTCACCACCCATCAAAATAATTCCTTTTGTCAGTCTAACTTCAGAGAACTGTGCCTGTTTGTTCAGTGGTGTGGATTTCATGGGCACAAAGGTTAATGGCCATGGGTGTTCTGGTTTGTTTTTTTCTTGATACGTTTTATAACTGTATGTGATAAAACTAGGAGATCATAATAGTAATAATAATGAGGACTAGGCTATTCCTTTATAATTTGCAGGGTGACCACTGAATAAATTTTCATGCTAGTGCAGACAGTTTAGCTCATTTCCCTGTGGCAGTGGGACATGGACAGAGAACCAAGTTTTCTATTGCACATGAGGAATTAAGAGACCAGTGAGTGGATACCAGAACTCCAGCAGTAGGGCCATGTGGCACCTGGTAAAAGGCTTTTTGCCTTGGATATTTGGAATAAATAACAAGGAGGAACAAGTGTCTGCTTCTGTTGTCTTCAGGTCAGAAGTGGTTGGGTTAATGAGGATGTTGCTGTGTGAATTGTGTAACTATGCAGTAAAAGCCATTGGGTTCTGTTTCATTAAATTAAACTGATGTCTTCTATGCAGAACACACACTGAATGATTTCCTCACCCCTGTGTGCTCTTTCAGGTGGGATTTTGGCAGGTCTCATTTCAGACAGGCTGGAGAAGAGGGCATCAACCTGCGGAATGATGTTGCTGCTTGCAGCACCCACAGTAAGAGCCTGCCCCTCTCTCACAGCCGTGGCTGAGGCTGTGACACCATTCCCTGGACAGTTCTGCAGGCAGCATCTCCCAGCCTGGATGTAGAGTCCAGGCCAGACTAAAAACTGGCATGAAAAGTTGAGCAAGTGTAGATACTGGGACTTAACAAGCAAACAAGCCTAATGTAATTTTTTTTGTTACAGAATATATGGAAAGTTTCACTCTCTTGTAAAATCTGATGTTCAGTTGTTAGCCAGAATTTTAGCTGCTCAAAGGCTAAAATTTCTGAGCTGTAACTCTTGGAAAACCAGCAGATGGACATGAGAGGGACATTTTTATTTGATTTTTTCAAGAGTTGTATTCTGTGCTGTGTTGAAGTTGGAGAGTTTAAAATAGATCTCATAACACAGCCCTTCCTTCTGAAAGCACATAGAGGAATGGGATCCTACCCCTTATCTCCCTTCTGTGTCCAATCAAACAATCATTCTACTGTGGCCTAAAAGGGTTTAGTAAAACCTGGAACTTTCATGTAATACCAACTTAAGATAACCTTGTAGTTAACATGGAGCAAATGGGGAACCCAGGATTAGTCCATATGTTGATATTCTGAGTGCTTATTCATTCCCTTTACAGCTGTACATGTTCTCTGCAGTCAGTAAAATGGGCCTTGAGGCTACTGTAGGTGAGTATTTTTAAATTATTCTGCCTAGCTTTCTATGAACTTTGCATTTATGACCTTTGATGTTCTTTCTTTTGTTCCTTTATTTTCTATTTTATCTTTTCTTTAGAGGAAGAAGTATGGAATCAAATGCCTTGGATTTGATCTCGCAGGGTTTTTACAGGTTGAAGTGGGAAGGCAGGAAGTGAGTGAGGGGTGGCAAGAGAACAGATTTAGTTAACATCATTAGTCTTTCTGGAGCTTGTGTCAGCACAGGTTTTTTATATCCCTTGTTCCAAATGTCAGAGATGCTTAACTATTGCCTGTAGTACTTTTGACAGCAGTATTAGCTTTATTTGAATAGGCTGAACTCACCAGTTAGCTCAAACTAGAAATGAAAACATGAGTGCTGGCAGTGGTGTCTCACCTACCTAAGGCCTCGTTCACTTTTAGGGTCCTCTGGTGCTGTGCAAGGAGAGAAGGGAGTTGTGGGTGTGCCTTGTGAGCAGCCCCTGCCCTCATGGTCAGTTTGGTCAAATATTCCCCTTTCTGTGACCTGCCAGGATCAGTAAAGACCCGGGAAGTGCTTTTAGTCTCAGCCCCATCTGCTGGTATGTTTGAGAATTCACATCATGGAGTGAGCATTAAAAAGAGAGGAATGGATATGTTTTTTGCCCTTTCCCAATTCTGTATTGGGTCAGGGGAGCCAAGGAAGTATTAAACCACTTGGGAGCCATAGGCTGTGATGTCTCCTGCAGTTATGGTGAACAGCTTTTCATGCAACTCACATTTTTCATTTTTTTTTTTTATTTTTAACTTGGAACAGTGATGCTGCTTATCAGTGGTGCCCTGGTGAATGGCCCTTATGCCCTGATCACCACTGCTGTCTCTGCTGACTTGGTGAGTTTTCCCCTGTGACATCTGCCTCCAGAGAGAGCCCTTTGACTCCTGCAGGGTCACCAGGGAAGGGGCTGCATTGTCCCAAAGCAGAGGAGAACGGAGCTGGAAAGGCAGCGCTGAACTCAGCCACTGAGATTTGTTTTTGAGTTTGTGTTTTAGCATGAATGAGTGCCATGCTTGTGAGAGCCTTCTAAATTATTCTTGACCACTCACAAGATTGTGGGTGACAGCCCAGATTGAACCTGAAGGTTGCATGCAAAGCCAGGCCTCTGTACAGGTGCCTTATCCCCTTCTATATTTTGCATTTTTAAATGATTGGAGGAGCTGTACCTGTGTGAGACATGAGCTAGTGATTTAATTCCCATCAGAAAGCTCTATCTGGCACAGACCTTTACAGAAGTAAAGGTATTTAAGCTGTCAGCACTTCCAGCAGGATCAGGTCAGCCAAGTCACAAATGCCATGTGAAAACATTAACATTTCTCAGTAGGGAGACTTTGGAAGTTTGTTTTGTAATGTGTTGGTTCTTAAGGGCACCAGGCAAGAGGCAAAAGTCCTCTTACTGTCTTAAATGCAGGAAAAGGAGCAGGGCAGAAATCTCCAGGCATCCTCTGGAGCCCTGTCCTTGGTCTGGAGGACCAAGGTGCCCACCAGGCAATGCCCATTTCACCCTTAGCCTTGTTCCAGGGGCTGACAGAGTGCTTGAGGCATCTCCAGAGCACAGAGGCGATGTGGAGGGGTGGGAGATGGATGGTGCTACCAGGGCTCTTTCAGAGCTCAGCTCAGGATGGGTCTCAGCCATCTCTGTCCCTCCAGGGTACCCATAAAAGCCTGAAAGGGAACGCAAGAGCCTTGTCCACAGTGACAGCGATCATCGACGGGACAGGATCTGTGGGTAAGCCAAGGCCACCTGCCCCAGCTGTAGCAGGTTAAAACTAAGAATTTTTGAGGAACTGGGCTCTTCAGGTCACATTTTGTGAGGATTCAGAACAGTTTTGGAAACGGGGAACAGCACAAACTGAAACCTCCAGTGGTCCCACACTTGAGGGTGGGAGGAAGGGGGGATGACGGATACTGGGCACAGACAGGAAAAGGAGATGGCACTGGGCTGTCCTGGGATCAGGGATATTTTATTTATGCCCTCCATATGGAAGGGAAAACTGAGTAAAATTCAGCTCAGTACTGGATGAGCATTTTGTTGAGCCAAAAGCAGGTGTTTATCACACATCTAAGTCTTCCAGCTTCCCATCTGTACCAGTAATGTTTTGCACTTCCTGGGATCTTTTAATACATCAGGTAATACTCAGTTAACTAGGTGGAAAAATAGATACTCTAATTCAGAATAGCTATATTTCAGTAGAGTAAATCTTAACATTGCACAGTTCTCACAGTATATTATATAAAATACCAAAATATAATGTTACTAATTAAATAAATATTATTTAATATATTAAATAAATATGTAATAATATTATATTTTAGGTGCAGCTCTGGGGCCTCTCCTGGCTGGCCTTATTTCCCCTTCTGGTTGGAACAACGTGTTTTACATGCTCATGGTGGCAGATGCTTGTGCCTTGCTAGTAAGTCTAAAAACTTACATTGTGACTTTCCTCACTGCTAAACTATCCCAAAATGCAAATTGTCCTTTTGCCATTTAAATATTCTGTGTTGTATTAGACTTCCAGTGGTGTAGGACATTTTCAGTCTTAACGGCAAATTTGCTTGTTTTGAAATTCTCATCTCATAATTCTCATTTAATTTTTTGATTAAAAAATCTTTTTGATATTTTTAATCAAAAGTGCAGATCAGTTCTGATGCACTTCAATTCCTGAGCAAATACCCAGCTGTTAATTGCTGGCTGAGCAGCTCAGAGCAGGCATAATTGCAAGTAAACCTTCATATTTAGACCTAGAAGTTGCCTCAGATTCCACTCACAGAAAAATCACTTCTGTTTTCTTTTGATCAAAGCCATACAAAATGTTTTCCTACGTTGCTGTATCACCAAAATCACCCTGATAATGAAGCTGTTGAAAGTTAATACATCCCATTTTCCAGATGGGCCCTGAAACATCTGTTCTAAATTCGATGAAGAACTGGCAATCCTGGCTTTTGACAGTAACCAGGAGCAGATGTTTGGGAAAAAAAGAGTGCACAGGTGGTGGCTTGGTCCAAAGCACTGAGCTCTGGGCTCCTGCAGAGGAGCTGAGAGTGTCAGACCGTTCCCTTCCTGGCACAAGAAAATCAGAAAACCTTTGAGTCACAGCTGAGGCATTTTTTCTAAATTCAAATTAAACCCTGATTTTAAAAGTAACATTTTCATGTTTAGGAGTAATTATCTGGAAATGAAATAAATAAATAAATAAATAGCTGAAGTGTTTTGCCACTGGTAGTCAGCAGCTTTATCCACAGCAGCAAATCCTGGTTTGTGCTGGTTTCAGTATTTGGTATTTCATGCTGCAGAGTGAGGCTTGGGAGGTTGTCAAATTTTTCCTAGATAAAGTTCTCATAGTTTTTCTCCTAGAGTTATTGATTAAAATGGAAAAAATGCCACATTTCTTCACAGAAAACCTTTGCAAAGCTCTGGTTTTGAGAGGTTTCACTCTGCATTTGTAATAAATTCTTTTTTGCATAACTGTTCTGCTTTTCCTGGTTTTTTCAGTGCAGCATATGGATACCTGTGTTCAAATATTATTTCTCCAAGGATACCTCAAGGGGGCATTAGCCTCTTATGTGGCATTCAGTTCTGTCATTCTTGGCCACTTCTGTGCCTCTGAAAATCTTTAATTTCTTAAAACATTCATACTTAAAACAGTGAGCAAACTTACATTTATAATAATGAGATTCTGAGGATAACATAACCTGAAACAGTGAGGAAACCAGTTGTCTTTATTGTACATGAGAACCATCAAATTGTATTTGTTATCTCAATAATCCTTTTCAAGTGCACTTGAAAGCCCTGATGCTGCACAGACAAACCCGACTGTCTGTACTGACCGTGACTAATTGTGGGATTAAAGCTTTTCACACTCAGGGTTGTTTCTGCAAATAGCAGCTAAAATACTTCCATGCCCCAAAATTTCTTTCTGACACGTTTTCTTGAAGCCTCGGGGTCCCTCTTCTGGTTTCTTTACACATTTGCTGGTGAAGTAACCAGAAAACCATTGTGGTTTTTATGAAGAAATTGACCTCTCAGATGCAAAAAGGAAATTATTTTCCTCTTGCCTGCTTATTGTGAAAGCTCCTCTTCCAGACCCTACTGAGCATCTGTAAATCTTTATTTTTTTTTAAACCCAGTTCACAGGGTAATGTTTCAAATGAGAAACTCTCCAAATAACAATGAATAATTCTGCTTCTAGTTTATCTGGATGATACTAAAGAGATTTTGTGTTTGTTTTTGCAGCTCTTACTCCGTCTAATCCAGAAGGAGCTTCAGTGTCATGCAGATCACACCCTGTAAGTGTTTTGTGTGGCTGCTGCTCTTTAATAACACTTTGAAAACACATTTCTAAGCCTTCTATATATAGCCATAAATGATCATTAAGGTTGGAAGAGACCTCCAAGATCAATTCCAACATTTGTCCCATAGTACCTAAATATAGACTGGGCATGTTAAGGTTTGTGTATATCCTTTTCTGTCTGTTTTAATTCTGCTTCAAAAGAGTAACCTCAGTTTGATGTTTTCGAACCATGGACGTGTTCCTTTAGAACATCTTCTTTTGAAAAATATCTGAAAACGTACCTCTGTCACAGTCTCTTGTTTGTGGATTGTTTTTTTCTCAAATACTTAATCTTCCATGGTGAAGGTGTGGAATTGCCTGCCCTGTGTTTAATAATAATTTAAAATGTAACTTTTTTCTAAAAGTTCTCCCTAAAGAAAAGGGTGACTCTGAATTTGCAGTATTTTGAATTGAGAAGAAAAAAAAAATATAAAAAATTCCAGTGAATCAATACACAAAATCTAAATTGAGCCCCTTGACTGTAGAATTTTGGAGAAGGAAAATGGAGAGAACAGAAAAATGCACAGCAGGGGCTGGATCCTGCCTTTTGGTGTTTGTTCTGCCTCACCCCTCAGCTTTTCCTGCCTGGTTTCTGTTCTTCCCCAGGTTCAAAGAGCACTGAGCTACGAGACCAGAGCTGGGATAAGGAGTGTGCCAGTGCATGGAGCTCTTCCCTGAAAACCAAACTCCAAGGGACACCTTATTCTGTATTTGAAGGGTGTGGTGAAGAGCCTTGCAGGTTTACTGGGGGCAGTGTGAGACAGGTAAATCCCTGGAGCTCTGATTTTTGCACATGAATAAGTACCTCAGGATGGCAGCTGTTCATCAGATGAAGAGATGGGACTTTGGGAAGGTTTCAGCAGCACGCTTCGACTGAGCCAAAGAGAAATACCAAGTGCCTTTTTTATTTCTTTTAATAGGATGTTTTTAATTGAAACTATAAACTGTGTATTTGCCAAAAATCAAGGCAAAGCTAGAGCAGGAGGAAGTTGAAATTTTAAGTCTATGAGTGACTGTCTCAGTGGGCAAAGTGTGTGTCTCTTATGTCAGCTTGTGTACACTGAAAGCATCACTTTATAGAGGACAATATCAGCTGGTTATTAAGATGTGCTGCTATTAGTATTTGAAGCTGCTCAGACAATAATCACCCTGCTGTATTATTAGTTTGTAGCTACAGTACTACTTCCCAAGGACAGCATCCAGCCTTTTGGTAGGTTATAAAATAGAATTTACTCTTGGCTGTGTACTGCAGTTAGCAGTTTTCACAGATCCTCTGGATGGATGTTAGTCCTCCATTAGGAATGTACAAAAAAAGGAGTCCTAAGCAACAAAAAGCAGTTTATGAGTCAGAATTTCCAGTGGGGGCTCTAATGATTTTTCAGGGCATTATAAACTGGTTGTGCAAACGTCACAGAATTGTGCTGCTCTGCTCTGCTAGGCTGGGCTGACGTGAGAGGGGTTTCTTTGGGGTGGCAGAGAGCTGTGAAGTGTCCTGTGCTTCAGCTCACAGGACTGAGCAGGTGGAGCTGCTTTGGTGCCCACTGGCACAGGGGTCTCTGTTGGGTTTCAGTGCTGGTGTGTGCACATGGAAGTCATCGTCTGATCCAGGCCTTAATATCCAGAAATCTCTCTCAAGTGGCTCTGGGTTTCAGATTTGGAGCCAAAATATCAGAGAAGAAAAATTACCTGTGTGGGTGGTAGTTTGTAAGAGAACATTTGAGTACCTAGTGCTACCCAGAAGATAGATGGTTTAATGTCTTCAGAACATATTTCTTTGTACAGCTGTCTGCTTTGCAAACAGAATGTTTCTGTGATTTTTTTAAATTTTTTTTTTGGGATGTACAAAGTGAAAAGAATTTTTTTTTTTTTTTTTTGTATGGGTGTTTATACTTAGATCACAAAGATGAGATAATTTAAACTGTGTGTTGTCCTTAACTGTATTTATTAAAGCTCTAGGCCTTTGTCTTGCTCTATGCTCTTAAATTTTGTGAGGCAGTGCAATTTACACTTGACTAGCAAAACATTTTAAAGCCCTACAAAATATTCAGGAATGTCCCATCAGCTGCTGGTAACACTTCATTTCCAGGGCTGCTTTGCACCAGCTCAGTCTTTGATCACTGGTTTGATCCAGCAGGTTTGATTCACACTTGTCCTGCCAGTCAGAATGGGCTCATTTTTAACTGTTCTGCTGAGCAGAGGGGCAGGGGTGGCCTCAGACCCACAGGGACTCGGGGAAGGTGCCAGGTCCTTGCAGGGAGCTCTGGGAGGGTCCTGTTCCTGCACTCACCTGCATGGAAGGCTGACCTCGCACATCTTGAGCAAACCAGGGCGGGGGATACTCAACATGTGAACTCAGAAATCTGGGCTGTGGGTAAATGTGAATTGTGCAGCAATGTTACTTGAAAAGACTTCCATCCTCCTGGAATGGGGAATTGCTCCTGGAATGTCAAACTGCTGCTCAGCTTGCCTCAGCTCAGCCAGGGTGAACACGGGGCTCTGCTGAAACAGCTTCTGATGGGGCAGAAATAACATTGCAACACCAAAACAGCTCTCCTGGCACATCTCCAACGCCTGTGTGGCAAGGGAGAGATGGATGGAGCACCACTTCAGCTGGGAATTCCAGTCCCTTTCCCCAGAAATACGTGTGGAGCTTTATACTAGTTTACTGAAACAGATCAAACTCTGCTGAGCTCAGATTTTGAGAAGCTGTTCCCTGTGGGCTGGAGTCTGAGGTTAAAAAGCTTTTGGTTGTATTTCTGAAGATATTTAAGTGTGTTTTGGGTTTTATTTGTTAGGGCTGCTGTTGTTATTTATTTATTTATTTGAATAGCTTTTGCACTGCAGTGACTCGGGTATGGGCTAATGACAGATTACATTTCAGTTCCTCCAAGCTGCAAATTTGTTGGACAAAAAGATAAAGATTTGTTTTTCTTTTTTCAAAAACTGAATAAACTGTGTGTTTTGTTAGTATCAGGTGTCTATATCCATTAATCTGCAAATGGGCAAGACTGACAAAATTTTGTATGTAAAAATGTGAGTGACCAGGAGGTGCAGCCAAATTTAAATGCGACTGCAGGGTTGGTTTGTTGGGTTTTTCTAAATGCTGATTATTGTGAATTTTATCCATTCACCATCCTGTGTTGAATAAAAATAGATTCTGTTCTAAGCAGAGAAGTGTTGAGTACTTTATCTTTTACATTTCCATGAAGAAATGCTCCATTTATTGGTTGGAAGGACAGATATCCCTGCTGGGACATTTGCCTGAGTCAGGGGCTGAGTGTGGCTCTTTTAAGGTGACTCTTTGTTGTCTGCTTCGCTTGCTCTTCAGTATATATGGGTTTGACATGGAAAAGCTTCATCCTTTCTCTCTAGCTCTGATCATGTCTTGATTCTTTTAAAATGTTTGAGGGGGTTTTTGTGCCTTTGCCCGACGTGCAACGTCCAAACCACAGATGTGGTGGGGAAAAACTGATTGGAAAGGAAAACAACTTCTGGTTACAGAATTTCTGACAAAATTGTGTCCACGGTGCCTCCTAGGAATAGGCAAATAGTAGCTGGGGTGCCTTATAAAAGAAGTGAGACTAAAATCCCAGTTTCTGTTCTGATGAGGAATAGGTGCCTCCCTTGTGAGAATCTTTGTGAAAGCCCTGGCTGTTGCTGGACACGCTGCAGGGTGAGGTGGTCTCTGTGTGTAGGAAGGGTTTATAAGGTGAGAAGAAGGTAAATAACTCCAGGGACAGCAGTGTCAAGTGGAGACTCCTTTTGCCTCTAAGTTCTGTGAACCCAGTCCATGCACCAAGACTTAATCCTGTGTGTTTTGCTCGTAAGGGAAATTCCAGAAGGGATTCTGCCGTTTGTTTGAGGAGGTTATTGCATGTGCTTCTGGCATGACATCCTTAGAATAACATGGGAATCCTCCACGGGTGTTTGTGCCAGTGCTGTGCTGCCTCAGACTCTGGCTGAACTCGTTGTGTTTAGGCCCAGGGTTCTTTGCTTGCTGCTGGAAGGTTTCTGCAGCGACTGATGCCCGGGGTTGTTTGTGCCAGAAGTTCTGCTCAGGATTAGGCAGGTGTAAGATGCTGTAAAATTAAATCAAAGGGTGTTCAGAGCTGTTGGAGGCTGATGGTTTTCGTACGGAATTAATTTGGGGAAGATCGATTACAATTCCATCAAATGACGAGGCCCAGGATCAGTAATGATGGCATTCTCTGATCTGAACTAAATTTATGTCCCTTGTGCTATGTAAGTGGTTAGATTATTTCATGGCTTGTCCCAACCTCTGGTGTGGTGTTCTGATTGCTGAGCCCCTTTCACCTTGGAGCAAGGCTGCTTTGGTGGTGTTTTGCTGTCTGCTGAACCAGCCAGGGGATGGTGGGGACGTGTCCTGCCCTGCTGTCACAACCTGCAGGGACTGGGCTGGGACTGCAAACACTCCTGGGGCTTTGTCTGCTGCTCTGGGGACCTTGGACTACATTTGCTGCCATGCTGAGTTAAAAATGTGGCTGTCATCCTTATGGCTGGGGAGAGGGAAGGGGAGGATGTAACTGCTGGTATAATTCAGCCTCGTGTCAAGTGACCTTAAGTGCCTAAGAGTTTAATAAACTGGGTTGTTATAAAGTGTTGGTTCTTTCCTCCTTTGTCTCCCTTCTTTTGGTTATTTTCCAGTTTGGAATAAGGAGATAATTAGTTGATGCTTGGGGTGGTTTTTTGAATTTTTTTTTCCTCTGTCTACCAGTTATGCTTTGGCTGCAGTGGAACATTGATTTCTCTGTAAACTGGGAACACAAGAGCCAAACTTCCTTCAGCATATTTCAAGATCCTGCTCAATTCCTGCATTGGGAGATCAGCTACAAAAATGTGTGCCAAGTCTCTCCATGCTGTACTTAAAACATCCTTAAAATCCTCAGTGTTCTTCACCTCATGATGATACTGGGGTAGAGTTTCTCTCCCTCCTTCTCTTACAAAGCAGCTGACAAATACCCACATTTCCACAATATTCCCTTTGGTCCAGCTGTTTGTTTCAGCAGTGGAGGACACTAAACTGACTTCCCATGTACTGCCATGTAAAAATGAACTTTGGAACGCTGTTACAAGGCTGGAGTTATTTTCAGTTTATCTGGTACCTAAACCCTGAACAGGAGGTCTGAATTTCATGGGTTATTCAGAAAGCAGCAGCTGCTTCCAGGGTTGGGGCCAGAACTGGAAGCAGCAGCCTGAGTTGCTGTGTTGAAACAAGGTGATCAATAATGTCTGAGTTCTCACCCTCTCTTCCCTGTGATGTGAAGGGTGGTTGGTGTGGGCAGCCCATCACAGCTGAATGACACAGGCAAAACCTTTGGAAGGGGTGAGTTCCCTCTGAATCTTCCACCAAACACACTGCTGTTATTTCTGCTGCAAGGACAGGGTATTATATTCGAGTCTGAATCACCCAAGCCACATGAGGCTTCAGCTTAGTAAGTACAGCGGGTTCTGAATTTTATTCTTAAATTCCTTATTTTATTCTTAAATTGCTCAGATCATCTGGTTGGAAGCAGCTGAATGTTGTGTCCTTCTGTGGCAGAACCTGCAGGTTTAGTCTTATGCTGAGAGGTAACAATGAGATTCAATTTAGCCATTGCTGTTAAAAGTCTTTATAAATCTTCCTCCCCCTCTCCCTCTGCAGCTTTTCAGTTACATGAAAGGAAGAAAATACAGTAAAAAAGAACAAAAGAGGTCAAAAGATGTCTCAAAAGCATACTCTTTCTTCCAAATTTTGCTCACTTGCTTGGCACCAAGGGAGATCCACTATCACAGCTGGTTTGTGTGTCTGCTGTAAATCTGAGCAGTTGCTGAAAGCAGAGAAAAATAGAAACCTTTGGGTTGCCTTGCTCTGGTTTTCACAGTGGCAATTCTCAAAATAGATGTCACCAGCCCAAAAAGGCAGAACCAGGGTGACTGACAAATCTGGGGTGCAGGCAGAGAAACTCAAGGATGTTTGGTGTAGGACTGTGTTAGAGCTAAATTAGACAGATTAAATTCCTATACAAATCCCTGTCAGGCATATAATGAAGCTCTAAACTTACCCCAGGTGTCAGCAAATAATCTTTTGAGCAGGGTGAAATCCATCACCAGCAAAGCACCTAGAAATGGAGCTAGAATGGCTGAAATCCTGTGAACATCTGAAGCAGAACTAACACATGCATTTCTCAGAACAATACTCACTGTCATTTGAAATGAGACCTCCTGGTAGAAAGGTTGCAGATGATGTAAGCCTTACAGTAACAGGGAAAACAAAGCTCCCTTGTTTGCCTGCTTGAAGTCCTCTAATAAAATAATGCATCTGTCAAAGCAGCATCGAAATGTCATTCTTCTGTGCCATCAAAAGGGAAATGTTATTCCTGGTTCCCATACACAGGGTTTTTTCAGGCCTCCCAGACCCATAAAAGCAGTCAAGAGGTATGATTAGCAGCTCTGATGCATTCACCTTTTGCATCTCTGTAAACATCAGGACCTGCCTTCTGCATTGTTCTTGCTGTCTCTGTTTTTCAAGCACAGTTGGAATTGTCCACATAATAAATGGGTTCTGCTTGGACCAACAGCAAAAACCACCCTCATGATAAAATGACTTGTTGGTCTTATTTTCTAGGCCCCCCCAAAAAAATAAAAATGTAGTGCTGCATGCCTTCTGTGCAAGTTTAGTATTCTGTGGCGTGAGTCTTTTTCAAGCAAGTTTGCCCAAGCAATTACTTTGTGAATTACATTTTGATTCACCCAGAGTCCAATCCTGGGTTGTTTTGGAGCAGCCTTTGCTGGGCTCTGCCTGTGCAGGTGTCTGAGCTGCCTTGCAGCAGCTCCTGCTGGAGCTGGGCTGGGATGCCAAGGGCAGGATGCTTTCACCATCCTGAGCGATGGGTTTTGTGTCTCAGGAGGAGCTGATGGAGTTTAACCCTCCTCACCTTTGGAGTGAGAGGCAGAGCTGAAGGC